TGGCTGCTGGGATCTCTGGGTGCCTGGGCTTCCCTGGGGATGCTGGCCAGAGCATCACTCTGTGCCAGCTTCCTGACACTGCTGTAGGGAACCACTTGTCCTAGTGCTTTTTTTGGCACAAACACCTGTTCTCAATGTGGCCAAACTGACTACACCCAGTATGGTCACTTTTTCATGCTGATAACTCGGACCAGTTTTCAACCAATGATGAGGTTAAAATTAATCTTTTTGTTCTCTGCCACTCTTTGAAGAAGGAAATAGAAATACTTCCACTGACCACAGCAGGCATTGCAAGTAAACAGAAACTACTCACTTGATAAAAAGCCCTTTTTAACTCAAGCTCTTGAAATGAAACTAAATAACAAGCTTAGATTGTGCCTGCTCTGAAACTAATAAAGGAAGTGGTCTCCTATATAGAGATTTTAGCTCTCACCTAAGCAAGCTACCATTGAAATATACAGAAAATCAGAAGGAATTTTTAATATTATTGAAGTGTGTTTTGTGAAACCCTGTGAAAAATTTGCCTGATATCTGTTGGGCAAAGTAGAAAATCTTCTTTAGAGGAAGAATATTACTTTTATTGCATAATATAGAAAAGGGAATTTAATAATATATTTATGCTACCAGTTAATTTCCAAAGTGTATTTTATTTTACTCACATGAACAGTACAATTGAAGTTAATAGTACTAATTTCAGTTTTAATCATTATATGTATATCTACACATACACAAAATTAGAATATTAAAGTGGGGTTAGCTTCTTGATACAGCTACTCTGCAGTGTGCAAAGATTCCAACTGTGCAGATCACATCATATCTAAAATATCCCATAAAGAAAATAATTGTTGTGCAAAGTTCAATTATAGCAAAAAGTACACCTAGTTTGGATAAATCAAAAAGTCAGATAAAACCGAACTCAAATGAGCAGGATAGCCATCTCCTTTAACATGTGTTTGTTCTTCAACATTGCAGTTTGCATTATGGTTTTGTTCCTGGAGAGGTTTAAATAGAACAATACACAAGGGCATCCCAGACTTAATGTGCTCTTCAGATATGTAGAATCTATGGTTTCCATAGAAAAAAAAAATTAAATGTTTTCTGGTGTGAAAAATTTAAAAGTTTTTCGCACCAAAATTTTTCTGTTTTCATAACAGAAATATAAAATTCCAGTTCAGCCTGTGTTCATGGCACTTCTTTTCCTTTGCTGACTACTTAGCTGTACAGTCAGAGGCTTAATATGAATCATTTATTTTGCAGTAGCAGTGCAAAACTCCAACTGCTTCCAAAGTGCCAAATATGAGATCGTCTAGTTCCTCCCACAAGATTTATGCAATCCATTATACGCCACATCTTTTGAAAGCATCTTCTGTCAAATTCCAAGCATAGTAAATTAAATAATAGATCTACACACCTGGATGAAAGCACAAAAAGAGTCACACACAGTGTTGTTTAATTTAGACAAAATTCTGTTTACTTGCATTTATCCTTGAATATCTCATTGATTTCTACACACCATAAACCTAGAATAGTGTTCAAGTAGTATATATAAAGTCTGTTATCTAAACACATTGCTCTTGCAGTGTGTTGGGAGCCTTAACTGAAGACAGGGCAGAAGGATGAGCAGAATCAAAGCTGTTAAATTTTTTAACAAATTCCTCTTCCCAGGATTTTAAGTTTCTGTCTAATATTTAACTAGTCTGCAATATAAAGGTAATTCTGCAGGGTTCATGTCAAGTAGTTCTTGAAGCGTTCAATAGTAGATGACTTTCCCCTGTGATAGTGGAGCTGATAAGTCATTATAATTTTTTCAGAGCACTACAATTTTTCATTCCATAGAAGTGTTTCCATATTGAATAGATAAATTTTGTAACAAAAACCTCAGAACGCTGTAGAACTTTTCATTAGAAAATAATCTTGTATAGGCTTCACTTTTTTATTTCTGGAAATAGATTTAAAGTAAAAACCATTCAGCTTTATAAGGTTTTGAGTATCTGTGTGTGCAATAGGAATCTAGAAGAAAAATATATATTGATAATATCAATCATGAAGGCCAAGAAAACCACTTATTTTTGTAGTAACAGTATGGCAGTGTTGATGACTTGGAGCTATAGTAAATAAAGGTAAACTCCCAGGGAATTTTGAGAATGAATATGAAAAACAATGACACTCTCGCCTACAACATAAAAGACCTTGATCTGACTGTCTTGAAATTTATTGGAAAGGTTAGTTTGTGTTTAAATAAAACAAAGTTCACCTCAATTGATAAGCCAGTCATAACTGATTTTAAAAGCTGATTTAGATAATGCAATTAATATATAAGCTTATTCACTTCTATTGATTAAATTTCTGTATGTAAAGAAAATCTCTCTTATTAATAATTTTGAGATTTTTGGGGGTCAAAAGGTGGTAGCCAAAGTTGAAATATTTGATGCAATAATTTTGCTACTATAAAAACATTATTTTTAATTAAGACAAGACACGGTACGTAATGCTTTGAAAATAGCTGACACTTTATCAAATTTAAATAAAGTATTTAGAAAATACAGACTAGTAACCACAAATATATACATTGTAATTGACAGAAGTAATGATTTAAAGAATAACAGTAAAAAACGTATGAAAAGAAATTACATTTCAACTAATTTATTGCAATTTCTGGAACATGCAATTATAAAAACAGATTTGTAAAAAAACAAAAAAAACCAAAAAAGGATTAACACAACAAATATGTTTTGAAAATGCTGCTGAAAAAATGTCGCACAGGAACTACCCAGGATATGAAGGAGTTACAGATTAAGGAATAAAATATCTCCATGGATTAAAACATGGGAAATAGAAGCAAGGAACAACTTTATTACAGCAAAATTACAGCAGAGGGGTGTTTATGAAAGTTCTGTGATAATTTTTGTGCTTAATACTTTAATAAATGTTTGGGAAACATAGCCAAATGGGACGAGAAATCTTGCAAACGGAACAAAAATTTAGTTTATTTCAATCCAAGAAAAGATTATGGGTATATTCAGAAAGTTTTCATCAATTGGGTGAATGAGTGGTGTGATAGCAAGAGAAACTGTAAGCTTAATAAATAGTAACCACAATATTAGAGCAAAACACATTGAGATGCTTATCCTCACCACTGAGTTCTGAATTGACTAAACTGGAAACAAACCCAGTCATCATTACAGATAATGTGTGCGTCCAAAATCAATAAATCTGAGCAAATAAATAGGAGAAGGAAAGTAATACAGAATTCTGATGAGAATTAGGCAAACTGCTTATCAAATTTCAAAATATTCTGATCAAAAGCATGGAAAACATCCAAGAAGGGATTTAAAAATGGAAAATTTTTACTTCAGAAAGAAAATAGGATTTGTTGCATCAAATCTGCTCTGGAAAAATCTCAAAAGAAACACAGCAAAGGACAGCTAAAAGTAGTAAAAAAAACCCAAACTGATATTAAAAATTGGGATTGAGTCATGCCTTTCTCCATGTATCATAATTTAAGAAAGTCTTCATCAGTTCATGAAGTCATAAATTGAGAAAATCATATGAGAAAAAAACCACCTTACTCACAGTATGTGATTAATTTTTGATGCCTCTTTCAACACTACATTGTCAAAGCAAAAAAGTTAGAATGGTTTGAAGAGAGAAGAGGAATTCAGGTGGAGAAAATGAGTAAGTAAGATAGTAGGAATGTTCAGAATTAAAATACTAAATATTGAAAATATTTTTGAAAACTAAAGTTTAAACCAACTTATAGCTGTCACATTGAGATGACATATAGGCTCAGATTAACCTGTATTGGCAAAAACTGCTGAGTTGGGTCATTCACTCCTGAATACACATTCACTCCTGAATACACATTCATGTGTAAATTCTTTGTCTTGATTTTTTAACTACAGGATTTTCAAACTGGATTATATTTATCACTTGAACACAAAAAGCATCTGTGTATGTGTAATATTGGTACCTAGAGTAATCCAAGAGCGTATATAATGTGCTCTTTTGCCAACTACTCATTTTGCACATTATACATTTGCTGTTGCCAGTGGGTGTGTGTTTTGAGGCTGAAAGATGAACACCTGCTTGTGTGCTTTGGTGAGGAGGGAGAGATTTAGGTTTTGTTTGGCACATCTGCTCATCTTTACATGAAGGCCCTGGACCTGAGACATCCAGGTGTCTTCAGCATTGAAACACCCACCCCATTCTAAAGTAGATAGACTTGGACTCTTTAAGTTCTGCTGGACAAGTAGCATTTCAAAGATATCCTGACCCAGTTTTGGAATTCTTCTGCCTGTATATGCCTGTGTCTGCGGTATTTGGGCTGAGAGGCCATGGTCACCATGCTTAGCTGTGGAAATGAGGAGCCTGCATCCCCAAGCTAGCAGAGACTGAGCCAGGTGTCAGGATAGTGGGTGCAGCCCACACTCTGAAGCATCATGTCACATTAGCTCAGGCTAAGGCTGTCCCCCTTCCAGAGCCAGTCCCAGCAATGCTACCTGTGCTGGCTTAGCTTCCTGTGCACTTGCACGGAGAGCAGACATTTACAAGGTAACCTGCATAGTCAAATGTCACCCTTCAGTCTGCCACCTGGATGCTCTTCAGACCACTGGAAGAAATTTCCCCTTCTCAGGTGGGAGCCTTAGTCTTCCTCATGTATTGAGGGTGGTGTTTATGGAGACCTACCAGACTATCGCGGTCACCCTGGCAGGTGGCTCTTTAGTCTCTGAGGTGGGGGCCTGGGCATATTCCCACCAGTTGGTCTCTGGCCAGACTCCCAGGTGTTCCCAGTCTCAGACACCTATTTCTGTGTTTCCAAGAACCGCGCTATTTTCTGTCACTTTTTCTGAGGTGGGCTGTGCCCGCTGCTTCTGCCTGACGGTCAGCAGCAAGGCCAGGTACCATCCCACCAGGATCTCCCCGCCGATGGAGGCTCACCCGCCCCCGCAGGCTCTGGCTGACCCGGGGAGACCCGCGGCGCGGAGGGAGGAGCGCGCAGGGCCATGTGAGCGGCTGGCGGCGGCAGCGGCCCTCGGGGAAGACAGATGGGGTGAGAGACAGCGCCCGGTCCGGCTGTCAGCGCAGCCCCAGCCCCGCCGCGGAGGGAGCCCCTCCTCCCCGCCGTGTGCGCCGCGCTCCCGGCCGGGGAACCATGGCGTCCAGCGAGGAGGACGGAGGCGGCAACGGCGCGGTGGAGGAGAAGGAGAACGGCAAGAAGAAGAAGAAGCTGGGCGTCCTGGCCACGACATGGCTCATCTTCTACAACGTCGCCATGACCGCGGGGTGAGCGGCGCGCGGAGCGGGCGCGGCGCGGCCGGGGCGAGACGGGGCCCGGCGGGGCCGGGCGGGAGAGCCGGGACGCGGGGAGCCGCCGGCAGCGGGGCTCTCCTCGCCTGCCGAGCATTGCCTAATACGGTGCAGCGCTGCCAGCCGCCGGCGCGTCACCCCGCGCCCGCCGCGGAGGTTAAGTATAGCCGGGACCGGAATGCCGGGCGGGGGAGCCGCGTCCCGCGGCGCGGCCTCGCCGGATGCGGAGGAGGCTGCTGGCCGCCCGCGGGGAGCCGATCCCCTCCTCGGTGCCGCCGGGGGCTTCAGCGCCGCGGTTCCGTGCGGGGCGGCGCGCTCGGGTCGGTGCGCCCGCGCTGTGAGCGAGCAGAGCCCGCCCCGGCTCGCTGAGCTGTCCAAAGCCAGCCCGGCCCCGGGCAGGAGCGATGAGCAGGAACGGTGGAGGCGGGAGAGTAGCCAAAGAGGTTCATTTGAGCTTGTGCTCCGTGCTGCGAGGCTTTGCTGTGAGGAAAGACAGTGTTTATTTTGAATAACAGATCATAAGAGCAGTCACGTTTATGTGGTTAGTGCTCGAAGCACATATTCTCGCTTCTTGAAAATTTTCCCTGTTCACTAACTCTTGCGGAAAAAACCTCAACCTATTCATTTCCACGTGTTTAAAAGAAAGCTAAGAATGAAAAAATTTACTACTTCTAGTGTGATATTCATCATGAGAACAGTTTTACTTTGGTTACTAATGGGTGGTCTCACTGCCCTTCGAATCCCGTAGAGTAAAACTAACACGCTGCAGTTGAGGCAGGAGCTCAAGCACTGCTGGAGAAAGCCAGGAATGTGATCGTAATGGCTTTCTTCTCACTAGCAGCTGTGAGTCTTGAGTATGTATTAAAGTCTGTTCATAAATTACTGCAGCACTTTTTGAAAAGTGCTTTTACGTGAGGTTAATGTTACCTCATTGAATTACCAGTCTTGTGCTCCATGTGTGAATTTGCTAATGAACACTGAGTCTTGCCACTGACTTTTATATGTCTCTAAAAGATTATCGAACCATATAAGTTTTGACCTTAGGTGCTGTATCAATATTTCCCACTTCCTTCTCTCTCATTTTCCATTAATATCAAAAGAAATTAAGACATGCAAAATTTGATATTTTTTTATGTGGAAACAGAAAAAAGATAGGAATAAATACTTATAATCATTTATAGGTACAATTTAAGAGAAAAATAAATATTTTAAATACAGTTACACTTAACAGAGACGATACGCAGGATAAATATTTAACTAGAACAGTATATTTGTCTAGTTGTCCAGGTAGTGCAATATAGAAAAATGTTTCTGGAGTTTTAACAAACTAATGTATAACTACATGTTAACAACCATTCTAATAAAAAAAACTCTGCAGCTTGTCTTTGATTCTAAACAGATTTAAGGGACTAAAATGACAGATCAATACTCAGTCTTGCTGAAAGTCCCAACTGGAGATTCTGCCTTTATTACAGAAAGTGCTTTCCGTTTCCTTGTGATTTGTAATAATCAGTAAGAGGACTTTCCTGAGATCCAAAGTCAAAGCCATTGACAGCTGAATAAATCTATCTACAGAAATTTATGTCCACGTAAAAAATCCTTTGAGAAAAATACATTTGCTGTCTTTGATTCTGAGTGTAGTCCAAGATTACTTCTCTCTGCAATGCTCATGCTTTGGTTGTGCAATGAGATGCAGAAAATGCCGTGTTAGGTTAAATGTATTATGACTTCTCAGTCTAAGTCACATACAGAGCTGTTGCTGCCACATTTGTGCTGCCAGCTGGATGTAAACTCACTATCACCTTCCTCTTGTCAAACACTTCACTGTAAAATGAGGCAGCTCTACTGTGAAAGACTACCAGTGATATTCCAGTATTCTCCGTTTCCACAGTGGTTGGAGACAACCTGAAATAAATGCACTCATATTTAAAATCCATTATAAAATCTAAGCAACACTTGTAGGGGAAAATTTTGGAGCACTGAGAGATCAGATTCATGGGCTTAAAGTAGAAGGGATCAAAGAGGGGAATCATTCCTGCTGTGTGGGGAAGCCTGGCTAACTCTATGTGAGTCTGAAACGCTGTCATGAAGTGCTGGAATGGGGCACACCAAGTGACTGCATAGCAGTGGCCGCCGTGCGCAGGAGCTGTTAGGGCTGATACTGAAATCCGTGCCACGCGAGGTGAGCGGGAGCTGTCAGGATCCAGGCGGCTCCCATGATCCTACACCAGGGGGGATCTGACCAAAGATTACTGTTTCCAGGTACCCTGTTTCCAGTGGTAGCCTATACCTTATGCTCAGGGACGACTACAAGAGGATGAGTTAAATATTGGTCCAAATGTTTATGTAAATATTTCTCTGAATGTTTATAATCTCTCTGAATCTGTCTGATTTCTGAAGCCCTTCTGCTTTGTGACTTGGGCCCTTCCTTAGCCAGAGCTCATGTTGCTGTAGAATATACTTGCTATGGCTTTGTGGAGAATGAAAGGACTGAGTAATTGTTCCCAGCAATTTCAGAGAAGACATTAAACTAAAATTTTTGTCACTTTTGATTTTTATTTTTACCTCTCAAAATAGCCGTCCATAGCTCTTGTTATACCTATGTCTATATTAAAAATTTTTGTACTTTCTTAGTTTTTTTGGATTGAAACCTGAAGTTTTCAGTCTCCTTGCTAATGTGGTGTTTTAAGAATGAGGTATAGGTCTGAAAGGCTGAGAGAGTTGGGTTTTTTCAGTCTGGAGAATGGAAGGCTCCAAGGTGGCGTAATTTCACTTCCTGAAGGGAGCCCACAAGAGGGCTGGAGAGGGACTTTTCACAAGTGCTTATAGTGGTAGAATTAAATATAATGGGTTTGAACTGAAAGAAGGCAGGTTTAGATTAGATATTGGGAAGAAATTCTTTACTCAGAGGGTAGTGAGGCACTTGCAGGAGCTGCCCAAAGAACCCCTGGATGCCCCATTCCTGGGCGTGTTCAAAGCCAGGTTGGACGGGGCCCTGAGTGACCTTGTCCAGTGCAAGGTGTCCCTGCTTACGGCAGAGGGGGGTGGAACTAGATCTCTAAGGTCCGTTCCTACCCAGTCAATCCCATGATTAAGGAAGATATAGTACACTGTTTTCAGAATCCTTATTATATAAAAATGGGTTTATTACATGGAAGGAATTCCTCATGCCTTGGATTATTTTGGAGAGTCAGTGCAGGTGGTGGGATCAACCCACAGTTTAGATGTTTATTTTTTATCTCAGTTTACATTCTAAATCTCAATATAAGTTTTATGTCAAATTCGACTATAATTAAAAGATACTGTTACTTTTTCTTTCCTTTACTTTGGAAGGGTTATTAGTTGTCATCATTGTTCAGTTTCCTAAAAAAACCAAAATAAATTTATCCAACCCCCCAAATGTGCTAGTTAAATATGTCTGCATCTTGAAGTCAGGAGCATAGGACACCCATCTTCTAGCACTTTGGAGTCTGATATTTAAGATAACTTTTAAAACACTTCTCAACACTTTGGGAATCATAATTGTAGTGGTACCTTGCATTAAAATGTGCATAAATTGCAGTCCGTTACTTTGACAAACTTGCAACTCAAACAGTGACTTCAGTGCCAAGCTCATCATGTGGTTTCAAATAACAGTATTTAATAGTCAAGATGCATGAGGATTTAATAGTAAAAATATGTAGTCACTGCTGGAGAAAAGTCTGATGGATGGGTGGTTTTGGGGGGTTCCCTCAATTAAGTCAATCCTCAGAAGGCAGCAAGTTGTTCTCCATTACTTTCCAAGTAAAGAGATTAGTGTAATGTTTACATAATATTATATACTATTTATGTCTAAAGATATTTTTTGATGATCTAAGAACACCGACAAGTGAAGAATCAAAGTTAACCTGTGAAGAAAAATACTCTACTAAATTATTTACGATGGATGGATATTTTTAGAATTCTAATTTGAAATGTATCCATTCTCTTTCTTTTATAGGTGGCTGGTATTAGGTATTGCCATGGTGCGGTTTTATATACAGAAAGGAACACATAGAGGCTTATTCAGAAGCGTTCAAAAGACGCTTAAATTTTTCCAGACATTTGCTTTGCTTGAGGTAAATTTTAAACATTAGTTTGCTTTACTGGATGCTGCATATCATAGACAAAACACATTATTATCCTGAATTTAAAATAAAAATATTATATTAGTACTAAAAGTCCTTTTTACTTTATTATTTAATGAAGTTTTGGGGGTGGGACAAGGTGATTACTTGAAAGAAATTGGCATGTGTTTTTCAGACTTAATTCTAATATTTCTTTAAATCAGTGTCTGGGAACTGCTTTGATTTGAGAGTCTTTAATGCAAAAGGCAAAATCTTGAAGGCATTTCAGCCAGCAGATCAGCCCTCTAGTGTAGTAGATGTCACCATCTCAGAGATTATAGCTTACCTTATATTCTTTATACTGGACTTACTATCCTTCTGTGCCTTTCCTGCTTCTGTTTATTTCAAGATGGGATTCACACACCCCATATAATCCATTGCAACGGGGTCTGTGCAAGATGTGCAAAGTATTCTTTAAGTAATACTTTTGCAAACTATGCACTAGTGGTCTCAGTTCTGGTACATCTGTGGAATGAAGCTTTATCGCTGGGTTTATGGAGCACTTGCAGTTCTTCCCCAGGCACAGGAAAGAATGTCTATCTACATTTTAATTTTTTTTCTCAATCTGCCTACAATGTCTCTAGTTCAAACAACTGTTAATATCATGTCACCAGCTGCATATAGGCTTTTGTGCTGTTAAACTTGCACTGTAAGTAATTCTATTCAAACCTGCCAAAATAATGAAAAGCACTTCATTTGATAAACATTACTGACCAGAAAATACACTGTATCTAAAGCTTCATAGCTATCATTGACAAAAGTATAATAATGTTATTAATCTATAACGAATGCAGAACATTTTAAAATTGCTGTGTGTTTAGCGTTCCTTATGTGACTTCCTCTACACTGTCCTGTAAAATTCTTCTTTGAGTAAAGGAAGAAAAGCTTACTAGTTGAATAAATTGCTTTGTAAGTATCTAAATGTCTAATATTTACAATTAATTTGGAAAACAAATATCTTTCATGTATTTGCATAGCTCAGACATTGAGACCATCCCAACACTGATTGCCAGGGCTCTGCCATGTATTTATTTATTTTTAAGACTGTTAGTGGGAGACAAAAACCAGAATTGAGCCTAGGTTTATATTAATATCAAAAGGCCATGTTTATAGGGTAGCTAGTAACATGCTGCACATCAGTAACCTCTGACTTATTTTTATTTACAGGTAATCCACTGTGCAGTTGGTGAGTTCTTTGTTTTAGTTTCTCCTGTAACTAGTGAAAACATGAATTGTGGAGCAGAGATAACATGTTTCTCTTTTCAAGGAATAGTTCGCACATCTGTGCTTGTGACTGGGGTCCAAGTGAGTTCAAGAATCTTCATGGTGTGGTTCATTGCACACAGTATAAAACAGGTATGTGTCTGAGCAAATTATGTTTTGGTTGCTTTTAAGGAGAAGCTATTACTACACTTCTCATTTCACAAGGAAGACCAAGCTAGAAATTAATTCTATTCATGTAGAGAATGCTTACATATTTGAGTGCAATTTTGGAAGTTAGGGTTACAAAACAGAATTTGTGTGATTCTTGCCAGGAGACAGAGTCTGGGTCTAAGCTGTGAATCAGCAGTGTTTTCAGCATCATGCCTTCTGTGGTCTGCCTAAATGAAATCAATGACTACTGCTGTCATTTACAAGCAAAACTACCCTAGTGTTAACAGTTCCCTTTCAGAAATTTTAATTAGCACTTGCTGAATTATTCTAAATAAAAGGTAAATTTATGTCTTTAAATTTATGTCTTGAATTCACGTGGATAAATATGGTTGTGATTTTGATATTTTTTTTAGAAACCCTCTCAAAATTTTAATGTTATGGTAATCTTAACATTTGATGACATCCAGGGTGTCACAATGGCACTTAAGGACCTGTGTAAATGAAAATGGCTTATTTTCCTAGCTTTGGGTAGCTGTTGTAGGGCTAGTGATCCATTAGTGGAATGAAGCAAGCAGTTCACAACTAGTAGTAGGTCATTAGGTTCAGTTTGTGAGGTGTGCTTTCTATGAAAGGCATGTAAAAAAATTAAGTGATAGGTTTTGTGCTCCTGAATTTCTTCAGAACTTGAAAAGCTGAGCCATTAAACTGTCTCACCAGCAGATGGCAGAGGCCTTTCTGCAGATGAATTATCCTAGCACCTGCCTCAGTTATCAAATCTTCATTTCATTTCACAAGAGGACTTGTTTTCTACACTGCATCTTTTCCTTTGACATGGAGTAAATTCAATAGGCTTTTCATAATGTTAATTTTTTTGTTCTTTTTTGTTGTTTGTTTTTTCGGTTTGTTTGGGGTTTTTTTGTTTTGGTTTAGTTTGGTTTGGGGTTTTTCTTTTTCTTGTAAGCTAACTTTTTATATTTTTCTGTAAGGCAAAATGTCTCAAAGATTAACAAGATTCTTATATTGAATATCTACACGTGTGCTGGATTATAGCACTGCATTTTGTCTTTTTTTATTATATGCAGTAGACTAAATCTTAAGCATATCCAGCAATTTCTTTTCTTTTCTCTATCTACACTACTGTAGGCCAAGCTGTGTCCAAGAAGAAATACATTTGAATGTGTCTCTGATTGTATTTCATGCTGCTATTGCTTAGCAGGCATGAATGTTCAGGGTCACTTTAGGTGGTGAGAGGCACGTCAGTGATAATAGCCAGAGCCAGACCTCCCCACTTGACTGCAGATTTGCAAGGCAGCAGATAGGAATTCTCTGCATACTTATTTTAAGCTCTTCTGCTTGGATTTAGCATTGTGACATGAATCCAAGTTTGAGTTATCAATGTTTATTTCTAATTGCATGAGGCAAAGAACAGCCTAATTCTGTCTTTACCTTTGTGTATCTGTTTGGGTGTCTTTGCACTTCAGTTGCTGCTATTTGTTTGTGATTTTAGTGCTATTTTTGTGTCTCCATTTTCTTTATGATGTTGGTGAGATCCTTCTGCTAAAATTGCACCACCTTTGACTGACATATTGAGGGTGTGATTTTATGAGCACTTATAATTATTTTTGACTTTTGTCAGAGTCCTGGATTTTCAGCATCTTGGAGATATATTAAGCTTTGTCACCATGTTGCATTTTATTTTGAAAAATCATTTCCCTTTTTTATAATTTTAACAAAACTTGTGTTGCTTTATTCTATTTCACAGACATCCCTGGAGCTTTTCAGCCTTCAGGCATAAAAGTGTATTACAAAATTCCTCCCCTCTTAAAGGAAAGAAAATTACTTGTGTGTAATTCTTCCTCACAGAAGGTAGTGTTTGTAATAGATCCCCAGGTGCCTTCTTTGTATTTGGGGACTTTTGTTTATTTGTTCGCTCAGAGTGAAAAATAACTGGTGTTTTGAAGCAGCAGAGATGTGCTGCTTACTGATGAGGCAGTTTAATGACTCAGAACTTAAATCTTACATGGGATTGTTGAGTAAGTTTACCCAAAGCTCCTGATCTACCAACTACTCTTCATTTAGTGAGCCATCTGTGCTCCAGCTTCTTAACTATCTCAGAGCTCCCTGAAGTCTGCCAAACTGGATCATCTGTGACCAAGTTCCAGTTAGTAGGTTATATAAAGCAATTCCTTTTGTCTAAAGTTTCATGGAGATGTGCATTATATATTGAAGAAGAAGCAATATTAAAAAGTAAGAGAAAATCTAGGAAAAGAAGTAGTGAAATGCAGAATGATTAAAAAGTGATTATGAGAAGAACATACCTTCTGTAGCATTTTGTTGTTCTTGTTGTTTTGAGGAAAAACATAAACAAATAGGTAAACTACAAATAGAAGAGGGATAGTTGGATAGTTTAGTGCCATGTAGGAAGAGAATAAAGAGGAAGAATAAGCATAATTACAGGGTTTTATATTTTGATATTTGCATAATGGATGAAGATTGCTCAGTTGACAAATGTCTGTATGTTAGTAAACACATATGATAATGAACTGTACATGGTAATGGTTTCAGCATATCACTTTTGTGCCAAAATCTTCTTCCTTTACAAGGTATTAGTTCTGTTCTATATATCTTAAAGAGAAGTCTGTTGCAGTTTGCACAGAAAAGAAGCCTAAGGATGAAGAAAATGTTGGTTCTTTATACTTCTGCAGATCCAGAATGAGGAGAGCGTTATTCTTTTTCTGGTCGTATGGACTGTGACAGAGATTACTCGATATTCCTTCTACACATTCAACCTGCTCAACCATTTGCCATACTTCATTAAATGGGCCAGGTGGAGATGTCTTGCACTTGAGTTTCTCATGATTCTGTGCATGTTGGTTTCACGCATGCTGAACTAACACACAGGAGAGCAGATGTTTGAGCTTTGGTTATGTGTCAGCAAAGTGCAAGTCAGTTGCTTTCTGTACTTGGGATCGTTGTTGCTTGGTTTAATATGTTAAAAATATTTTAGCTGAGGTTTTTGGAGTATGGTTTTTTCTTTGTTTTCTGTGTCTCACAGTTTGAACTCTGCTTTCCCTTACTCTAATTTTTTTTTCACTTACTCTAATTTTTTTTCTCTATCTTTTTAATTTTATCTCATCTTTTAATTTGCAGTATGACTCTTTACGATACTCTGAATACAGTATTTAAGTATTTAAATTAAGCACCTGTGCTAGTCTTTGTGGATGTTAGTTTTTTGAAAATGTGGGAGTTGTTGTCACTCAATCTGTATTATTACTTTATAAGAAGTTCTGCTTTATCAGAGCTTTTGTAAGATTGTATCCATGTAGTGAAGTTAAATACTGACTTAGTTTAGGCCACCAAAAATTGAGTTCCAAATCAAAACTATTTTGATTTTGAAGCATTCTTAAGGTTGGACACTAAATCACATACACTACAGAGACTGTGTATATTTATCAGGAGACTTAACTGGAATAGTATTCTATGTAGTCATTATTTGAAAAATACATGTAAGGCAGACTTATTATGTTAGAAGAATAATATCTAACCTACATTCAGCACAGGCGACTCTTACTTAAAACAGTTTGTTTGTTGTTTTCCTTTATTTTTGTTTTACAGATGATGCCAGTTTGAAGATTCTAATGCACTTCTTTGATATGTCTGATGTTTATGTCCATTCTTATTTCCTTTTTGCTAGTGCCTAAGTGAGAGACTTGTCTAAGCACTAAATGACAAACTTAGTCAGATTGGCTATCATCAGTAGTTTTTTATACAGACTTCAGAAAGAGAAATGCACTCAGAACAAATTACATTGACAGATAATAATTTTTGCCATCAGGTCAGTGTGCCTTGAATAACAGAATTTTGTTTCCTTAATATAGACAGTAGGGAAAACCAACATTCTCACTGAAAAGACATATGGTGAAATATTAATATAAACAAAACATTTGAAAATATATTATTTTTTCATAAAGTCTAAAATATCCCTTCAAGATTTATGGATAAACAAACAGCACAACTGGGCATGAATTCAGTACCAAGAGTGATGGAAATTCTGATCTTTAGCTTATAACTGTATAGAGACAAACAATATGTAAGGCATTAGTTCCTTCTTATCTAATCTGCATTCTTCTCGGTGCTGCCAAACAATAGGACAAGAGGCAAAGGGCAGAAACTGATGCACAGGAAGTGCCTCGTGAATATGAGGAAGAACTTCTTTAGTGTGCAGGTGACTAAGCAGTAGAACAGATTGTCCAGAGAGACAATCCAGTGTCTCCCTCTCTGGAGATGTTCAAGCCCATCTGCACACAATGCTGTTCCATGTGCCTTAGGATAACCCAGCTTGAGTGGGGAGGCTGGACCAGATGAGTCATTGTGGTCCCTTCCAACCTGAACTATTCTGTGATTCCTCTCATCTGTGAGTCTTTTAAGTCCTTTTGCTTCTAGGAGGATTTCATGCTTAGTTGCTGCTGTTTTGGATCTCATTTCTTTTGGTCAGGGAGTGCACATTGTACCTTTCTCTTTGTGTGATAGCTCTCATTGCTGTTCCCTATATGAACTGGAGAATTGTTCTGTAGGAGAACCTTGCATATCCATGGTGCACTGTGTGAAAGGACAGCACATAGCCTATTGCTTAAAATTTTCATTTTGTCACTGCCTACATGGCCTTTGGCATTCAAACGACATTTTCTTTCAGCTGGATGCTTTGCCTTTTGTTTGAACATCATCTCACTTTAAAATGGATCTGATAAGTTTCTGGCACTGTAATTTTCTCTTTTTATTCCAATTTCAATTAGTGGTAAATGTAGTATTCCTATGTTGTAGCGAGCAAAACAGGCTCCTGATGCTTTTCAACATTGTCATTATCTTCAAACTATTTGTAGTACATACAGTTGACCCAGTGTGTGTGCACTGTGGTGAAAATATATAGGATCATCTGAGATTAAGGTCTGAATCCTGTCAGTGACAACAGGAGTAAGAATAGTACATTTTTAAAAAATCATTATTGGAGACTAAAAATTTGAGGGTTGTTCTATTAGAAAGAGATAAAAACATTCTGATACTTCACTGTTTTTTAAACAAAGCACTGAGGAAGGCATTCTCTTGTCAATATAAGCAGCTCTACCAAAAGTAACTGAAACTGATGTTTTGTGTCAAGTCAGGCTGTGATCCCTGATTCTGGTGTAGGAGCTACTTTAAGACATTTCTGTGCCACTAATAATAAGAGAAAATTTTAATTTTATGGAGTGTTTCTCACAAGGTTTTTTTAAATTATTTTTCAATGCAGATACAACTTTTTTATCATTTTGTATCCTGCTGGAGTTGCAGGTGAACTGCTAACCATATATGCTGCTTTACCCTACGTGAAGAAAACAGGAATGTTTTCACTGAGACTTCCCAACAAATACAACGTCTCCTTTGACTACTATTACTTCCTTATTATTGTCATGTTCTCCTATGTGCCATGTAAGTACTGTTTAACTGTAGAAACATTTTAATATCATAAAAATAAATCTTCAGCGATGCTATAAACACTGCCGGTATTAAAATTTGCTGAACACTTTCTACTGGAAGAGCTTGCTTTCTGTTGTGCCAAGCTTTACTGTGCTTTAATTGGTTAGGCAGAAATTTTTCTGTCCTGTTATCTGCTTAGGAACATAATCTGTCTTAAACATTTCAATGAAATGCTAAAATTATTTCTCAGACTTGGACAAAGTAAGAAAAGTTTTTGCTTACAGACAGAAATGTCTGTATGTGTGTTGTTGAGACTTTATAGTGCCTCTCCCACTTTGAAGTAATGACTTTAAAACTTTTAACTGTAAGTTGTGCCAGAGATTTGCTGTGGCTTTTTATTACTAATAACCATTTACCTTGGAAAAACCATCATTCAAGTGTGCTCAGGAAGAACTTGAAGCAGTCTTCTCTAAGATTTCATTTTCACAGAAATCAACCCCCCCCCCACTAAACCTCTCTGAACATCTGCAGTCCTTGGCTTAATCAGTTTGTCCTTGTACTTATGCATGCCAGAAGCCATGGAGGTAACAGCAGAGAGACTATCTGTCTTTCACTCTCAGTGTTATTTCCACTGCTACCTAAGCAGTGAAGACAAGGAGAAAGCAACTGGATATTCCACCATGAATAGGGCTAGACCAAACTAGGCAAATGTAATATTTTAGATACCATTATTAATAGAATATATAATATCTTAAAATAATCTGTACATTGAGGCAGCAGATTAGAGAGGGAAATTGAAAAGCAGGAAAACTGAAGTTAAAGGGTCTGTGATCTGCATTCATGAAAGGTATTCATTTGGGAAGGCAACATTCAATATGGACTTTTACAATATGAACACACACTTAAATTTTTTGTCCCAAGAAGTCACAAAGGCCAACAAGAGAGATTTATGTCAACAAAAAATACTCTAAGGTGTGATAACTTACTAACACTTTTATATCTGTTTATGTAATAACACTTCAGGAATAAATCCAGTTTTCTAGCCATTAAATATAAGGATCTACTGTCAGTAGGACAGTAATATTATAGATGACAGAGGGACAGCAAAGAAGGATCTCCTTACTTCAGACTTGAACAAATAGGGTAAATTTGTATCCTCCTCCTAGTCTTCAAAAATGCTTAGGACAGATTTGAAGTCTTCAAGCACTACCAGAATGTGGTTAAATCCTGTTTCTACAAGGAAACTGTTGGAGTGAAGTTCCTTGAACACAGGTATTTATTCAGGGATAAATGAGCTTTGAGTAATTATTGTTTTTAAATGACTGCAATGTTCATGACTTGTTATTATTCACCTTAATCAACTCAACCACTGTGTACCATAATTTTTACTCAGTTCATCATTCTGTAAAATAGTGGTTTTCCATTATGGAATTTTTCCATCTAATTTGCTTTCTTTTGTGCTTTGATCAAGTATTTCCACAACTCTACTTCCACATGCTGCGGCAGAGAAGAAGGGTGCTTCATGGAGAAGTGATTGTGGAAAAGGATGATTGAATCAAGCTGTGTAACCATGGTGCTTTTAGTGGAAAGGAAGAGAAGAGAGGGTAAAGACCCAAAACTTCCTCTGATTTTTCTGAGTCCAAGTTTTAAAACATGGAACAAGAATAAACAACTGTGCCTGTGCCTGTGGACTGTATTATTTTTGCAATTAATGTATTTTGAGACCTACCTTTTCATCCTCAGATTCCCTTTGGTTTTTAATTGTTCATTTCTTCAAAGAAATATTTTATTGTTTTCAATAAGTTGACGAGTAGCATTAAGAATTAGAATAGTTGGCTACTGTGCATTCTGTTCTGAAAGTTCTGTTATGACCTGTAGTCATTATCAAAAACAAAAGAGTTGATAAGCTGTACTGAAAGTGAGTCTTCTGGAAATCAGAGTGTAAATTAGGTAATGATGTTTTTCATAGACTAGGTGAATTGAATGGTATTTAAGCTTTATATTAAGTAATACCTTTCCAATTATAAGTACTGTAGCATGTTGTTTAACGTTTTTTGAATTACAGTATCACATGCAGAATTCCAGAAGGACATTTGAAAAGAGTTGAATTCTTGATTGTCCATGCAAATTTAGACCACCCTGTATTTTCATTTGTAATTTTAAAGATACTTAGGGTAATAGATATAATATTAACTGGTTAAAAGTTTGTGCTGAGGAGAAGACAGGATGTGCCTACCTTTCTCTAATCAGTGGCTGGAATGGGACTCCTTTGCAGTGCAAAGTTGATTGTCAGCATGTTTCCTATTCTACGTTTATGTTATGTATGCAGAAAAATCAGTATTGCATTGAAAATCTGTAGCTATGGTGAGATATTTGACGTCTTTTCAGCAGCTAAAATATGGGATAAAATATATTTAAAATATCATCTTAAAATATAAATTGTGCTTTGATTCACCCCATTGGGCAATTTTAATTGCTTCCTCCCCATTAATTGTTTATACTGTGTTGACCTAATTCTATTTCATGTCTTCAATAATCTGCAGGAAGGATCTCTAGTATACTGATAGAAGTTACAGATGATATTATACTATATGATACTTGAGTGGGAGAGGTCCAACAAATTAGTAGATTTTGATCTAACAGCCTAGCAGATTCAGAGAAAAGGTGATGCATTTGAGGAAACTTGGATACTTAGTGAGAGAGAGAAGATTGAAATGTAGTAATGTGGTACAAAGCCCTGAAAATGTAGGCAGCAAACCTGTCTTGTTTCTGGCTTCACTGATGTCAAAAGAAGTGTGTACATTTGTGGAAGAGCTGCATCAGGCAGCTGTAAATCAGAACACTTGTGGTTGCTGAGGTAATTTCTGGAGTACAGTCTTATATTTTGGCTACCTCAGGGGTGAAGAATTGGAGAATCTTCTGAAAGCTCAGAGAACAATAACAAAACTCGTTGAAGTGAGAAAGAAGTCGGAAAGATTGTGTTGCTAATATGTGTAATTTGTTCTATGATAAATACACGGAAGAGCTTTTCTAAGTATGGAGGTGTAGCTATGATGAATTTGGAACAAGGTAAAGAGCCAATGAATATCAGAAGAAAGGTCCTACTGATTAGATCAATTATGGAATGACACAGTAAGGCTTATCAATGCATGCAGTGTCTTGGAAGGGTTTCAGTTAAAGCTGGCAAGAGATTGAACTACATATTTGAATAGGCAGTTTCCATTTTTAGCTTCAATGATACTATGGTAATACCACTTTTTTGAAATTTTTAGATATGCCAGAATAAGGTGTATCAAGTAATTTAATAAAAAATCAAGGATTTGCTATATCCCTAACTTTTAAATTGTGCCTTGGATTTCTGATATTTATGTATGTCTTCATTACATGTAAATGAGTTTCCTTTCATGTGACAGATGCGTAGTGAACTTGAGACAGAACAGTTGTATTTCTTTAAATTTTAAAAGGTATAATCTTTATATTCCTTAAATTTCACAAAGGTGCTCTGATTTAACTTACTACTTCTGTTTTATATGCAGCTAAAATTATTAAAAGTTTAAAATATAAATTATATTTACAACACTGCATCACAAAATAGTTGTGTTACATGTGTTCAGACTAGCAGTTGTATGTGTCCAGTATTCTTTCAGTACTGTTTTATAAACTATGAGGAACATATGGGCAGTTTTGGGAAATATATCTCCATTAGCAAACAGAATTGTGTGATGAAATACAAAAAACTAAGATTATATGAAGTTCGTTGTCTCTTTTTACTGTCAGGACAGCTCACTGAAGACCATAGCTATCAATTAATTGAAAATTCATTGGATACCTAAGGATGTGGTTTTGAAATCCTTGATCAGATGAGTGTATCCTGTAGATAATATTCTTACTAAAGGGAATACTTGCACTATAAAAGTGTATTATATTTTTTTTCATTGTGGCCTAAGGATATTATCATGTTAATCAAGGACCTATTTTTATATCCTTTCGTACATATGACATGAAAAAAAAAAAACCAACACTGTTTGCTACAATCTTGGGTTGCACTTCCATAAAGCAACAATGTACAAGGTAATGATACAATTTAAAACTGAATTTACAGCTACAAAACAGTCTTGCTAAATAATGAATTAATAAAAGTAAAGCCAAAAATTACTGACAGTATCACATTCAATGTTTCATTGACCAGAGAGATTGCCATGTAGATTCATTTACATGACATTTACCTAAAAAAAGTAAGCAACATGTTCTTTTCTTCCTCCTGTTTTTTGACTGAAACCTTTCACTGAAGCCTCCTTTTCACAGGATCAGTAAGGTTGGAAAAGACCTCCAGGGTCACCAAGTCCAACATTTGACTGAACACCACCACATCAACTAGACTATAGCACTAAGTGCCATGTCCAGCTGCTTCTTGAATGCTTCCAGGGGTGGTGACTCCACCACCTCCCTGGGGAGCCAGTTCCAATGTCTGAGCAGCCTTTCCATGGAGAAATTCTGATGTCCAATCTGAACCTCCCCTGACACAGCTTGAGGCCTTTTCCTCTTGTTTGGTTGCTGGTTGCTATTCTGTTAACATATCTTCTGAAACATAGTGAGAATTGCAGGTAAAATCTTCTTGCTATTGACTTCAGATGAGCTAGGATTTTATCCTAGGTAGCTATATTTAAATTTCAATATACCATCTTGAAACATTTAATTAACCTGTCACATGGACATTAAAACTTAAGTATGATTTTCATATGGTGCTCTCTTTCCAACTTCTTTTTTACATCTGTCTTTTTGTCTTCCTCTCCGCAATATTCCTAGTTATCTAAAGCATTTAAATCCTCCTGCTTACGTAAGATTAGGAATGTATTCAAACATCAGCATCTCTAATGTTTTCATGTAGTCTTTAACAAATTGTCCTTATACAGGTATTTTCTTACTTGATCTATATAGGCCTTCTGAAATGAATTCATATAGAGCATGGCTTTATGAATATTTTTGAATAGCAGTATATAGAAATAGGGAGATTCCTTTTAATCAGGAGACTTTTCCTACTATTGGTATTAACAGAAACCATCTTTTGTATAAACTCTACCTGAAAGTGACTCGATTTCTTGAGGTTCTCTCCAGCACTCACATACTGTGAAAAGCTGTTTTGGGACAGATTGGGTTGTTTCACAGCTAAGCCCAGAAAGTTTGGAGGTCAGATCCCGGCTCCAGGGCATGGGCAGCAGCAAGGAATATGATGCTGAGGTATTGCATCTTCTGCATTACCTGGCAAGGGTCACTGAGGCTGTGGAGAGCAGTAGTTGATAGATGTGATTTCTCCCACCCTGCAGGATGTGAGATGAGAGGAAGCTCAGTGTGCTGTCATTACTGTCTGCTGAGGGAGCTGAGGGGATCAGGTGGGAGGATCTCTGTGCACTAAGGGTGTGTTACAGAGAGGGCTTTCCCACTCCACTCAGCTGTGGTTTGCTGTCTATTAGCCTGTGTGTCTTGAGATGTACAGGTCTGGCAGGGTGGGCATGGCACGCCAATCTCAACAGCGGAGTTCAGCATAAACTGCCTTGGAGAAATGGTGCAGGGTGCTGTTTCTCATTCCCACTGTACATAACATTTAGCCATATTCATGTTCATGGATAGATTGCAAGTCTGGTTAACAGAGAGATGCATGGAGACCTTTTCTGTGACCAGATGGAAATGTACATTTTAAATCTAGTTCTAGCTACTCTCTGATTGTGGTACTCTCAGTCTTCACAGTAGCTTACGTCAGTGGATATTAGGATATGTGTATGGTTACTAAATAAACCAGAATGAAACCAATTCACAATCGTTACAATAATTTATAATTTCAAATTAGTTTAAATAACGGTAACAGTTTTTGAATCAAGCTCTTGCTTAATCTTCCTTAGAAACAAAAAAAAGAAAGTTAATAGAAATAAATGTTCTGCACTAGGCAGTAGGGCCTCATCAATCAAAATTTTCAGGTGGGCAAACTGACTGCGTTTCATACACGATTTTTTAAGTGGGTTTTTTTGAACAAAAAAGGTGAAAGCTTTTCTGAAAATCAAAGTTTATTTCATAATGTATATTTTAAAATGTGCTGAGACTTACTGTATTATTTATTACCAGTTTACAATTTAAATTCATGCTGAACCTGCAGTTTTTATAGATGATTAACTGTAGCCCATTAAAATGTTTCATTCTGTGTTTGCTGCAATGGCTGTTTAAAGAACAAACTCCCCATTCTTCTGCAGAGCTCTGTGTTCTCTTGCTCAAGTGAGTTTCAGTATTGTTACTGCCTGCGATGCTTTTGCCAGGCTGCTGAAGTGGCAGGTTCCAGTTGGCCAAGGGCAGCTCCCTGAGCTTGCTTCCAGGAGGGCACAGCTCCACAGTGGGTGGCACTCTCGGGTCGGTGTCGGGCCCCGCTGTGCCACCCGTGCCATTCTGGGTCTCGAGCTCCTTCAGGACTGCCAGCTCTGCAGATGTGCCCAGCTGATTCATCCCTATGGCCTCCCAGGTGGAGAGAACTCTTAGGTCACAAAAGCAAATCTGACAAGTGAACTGAGAGCTGTCCCGAGAGAACTGTGGGGAACTGAATGTTGGGTGACTCCAGCCCTGTCGAGGAAGTTGCTGTCTGTTTCACGCCTGTGGCTGGTAGTGGCTGGTGATGTACAGTACTTTCTGTGTCATGTTGT